TATAGGACAAATAAATTTTGTTCTTAAAAGAAATTTGTTCAGAACAAATAACAAATATGCCATGACTAAATCTCACTCTTTCACCTTATTAAGATTTTGGGAATCGTGTTTCTAGCTTTATTAATGTGATACCAATCTTACTTTGCTGGTCTTATATTTTTACTTAATGTGAATGAGACTATTAGGTGAAGCAACACCCTTAGGACACTTCTAGGAAAATAAATTCAAGAAAGCTAAGGAATAATTGGTACTTTAGTTGGAAGATGCAATTTTTTAGGCATAAGGAAATTTGCAGGCCAAGTTTCTCAGCAGATCTGAAAAAAAAAAAAAAGGAAACCATTCACAAAAAGGTCACCTTTTACTGTCCAGAGGAAGATTAGTTATGAAGGTGATGAGTTATGAGGCTGTTCTTCAAGAACACAAGAGACTGAAACAGAAGCCTTTTGGCATAGACCTGTGTCAAGCTTTGAAGACAACTGGTAGGCTTTTCTTCATACCCAGGTATGAAGCTTTTGTTACTTTAATCATTTGCTTGCTGCAAACCTTTACATTAATAACACCAGGTTTTGTTTTGAACAACATTGTTTGCATCACTTTAATGTGCTGCGAGCCCCAGGCTTCCAGAGGCAGTTTCTCGAGGACGCTGAATGCAGCTGGAGCTGTAGTGCGGACAGGCAGAGCAGGCAGCAAGCAGCAGCCTCCAGCGCCTGCCTGGCAGGGTGAGCCAAGGCACTCATCCACCCTTGAAAAGCACCTGGGGGGGGCTGGTTGAAGGAGGTGTGGAAGTGCGTAAGGCTCATGCCGGTATTCACTCTGACACTTTGCAGATCACAAATCCTGCCTACGTTGTTTACAGAGTTGGTAATTGACAGTAATGCTGAATCCTTGTACTTTCACTTTTTGCAAAGGTAAGTGGCTTTTGTCGAACCTAACTGATTTCCTAAACAAAGGTGCTCCCTTCCAGTTGCCCAGGAGATACAGCTGCGCATCGATACTCTTATAGCGAAAGAAAGATGGTAAAGTACTGTGGGCTAGAACAGAGTCATGAAATGTAAGGAAGCTTATTTTGTTACAGAATAAGGGAGTTGGTTTGTTTTAATCATGTTGCTTTGGTACCAACATGCAAGCAATATTTTTTCTGTGGAAATTTGGTAGCTGCTCAGGAAGTATGTATGTGATGGTGATGTGAAAATCTGTGGTTGTGTTTTGCTAAAGCTGCGTCTTCAGTGAAAGTGCAAAGGAACTTTGAATGAAGGCTGTAAATCAGCATACAGCAAGTGTCTTGACTTCAGAGGGACTAAGCAAATGTTTGAGTATTGAGTGTCCAGTCCCTTGAACAAGGACTGTTGTCACATTCACTGTTGTAACAGAAATGAAAGGTCCAAGTTCTCGGTAAAATTTTCAAAGTTACCCTAATGACTTACTAGTCCGTATATATATTCAGTCATTTGGACTTCCAAGAAAGTACTAGAGTGATTGTTCAAAAATCACTTTCCTGAATTACTGCAGGATTTCTATCCTGTTGTGTTAGTTGATGGTGATGTTGCAATATTGTAGGACCAAATTGTACTGGTAGAATGTGTTTTGCATGTATCTTCCTGAAGTGTTTTAGATAAAAGTACCACAATTGTCCATTCTGTGCTGAAGTGGACTGCAAAACAGCTAGCATGCTTGTTGATGCTTGTTCAAAGCCTCCTCTTGAAGAAGTACTGCTGTGGGCATTTATCTGTTTTAAAAGTTATTTAAATCACAAGTACAAACTAGTTTTTATAGGGCTACACATAAGATGATAAAACATGAGCATGGTTTAAATCCGTAAGATTGTATTTTACCTGCAGGTCAATTTAAAATGTGATCAATAAAAACTCATATATGTGCATACCTAACAAGTGCATTATGAGATGATAATTCGGTCCATGTAACTCAGCTGGTTAATCTCCTGCTGCCCACTCCAGAAGGGTAATTTGTGTACCATCTTTCAACTAAGAAAAAAACCCAAACCAGAAAAAAAGCCAAACAAAAAGAAACCCCAAAAGTATTTTGGAAAATGAAAATAATCAAATAGAAAGAGGGAGATATAGTGTGAAAGCAATTAAAGTATTTTTCTTACAAATATAGGCAATTATTTAAAAGGAGGCTTTACCATGGTTTCACGTCTAGTAGCTTTAGGTTTCAGACTGGAAGAGCATTTTGAGTTTAATCAGTAGTGTCAATAGTTAATTCTCTTTTACCAAATGGATGTCCTCCCTTCACCCACACATAATTACTACTGTGCTGTCTCAGTGCAGGCACTGTTTCATTCTCAGGTGGGGGAAAGGAGCCAGGGACTGTCCCTAGGTTTTAAGAAAACTTTTCTGACCAAGTGCAACACAAACGGTTACTTCGGTGTTTGCTAGCGTGCTGTTTGAATAGACTTTGTAGAGGGTACGTGCTTTTGATGTGATACGTCCAGTAGGAAAGCATAGTAGTCAAATTAGCCTGGTTGCGCAGTGTTTTCAATTCTGAAATAAGATATGGTATTATTGGATAAGATACTATAAAGTTTATAATAATATAAAGAATAATTAAATGATAACCATATTACTGGATAAGAAAAGCGACATCCTGAAAGAGTGTTTTAACTGCCACCATACCACAGTCTGTTTCAGCTTGAGCTTATTGTTACATGCCACTTAAGAGCTCAAACATGCCTTCCCAATGCTAGGTGGGAATACAGGATTTCACACGTCTATTTGTAAACTGGGCCACAATGAAAAATGAAGTTATATCAGCAGGCAGGGTGAGCTCCCTAAAGATAAGCACCAACCTGCTAATTATCTCTATTATGCATAATTGCATTTAATTGTTCTATTTCTGTACAGCTTTCCCAACAAACAGAATTGAGTAATTCCCCTAGCCAGAGCCATCGTTGTGCTTGTGACCAGAAAGATGCTCAGACTGAACCATTGCTGGTTGGACATCAAAAAAAGGTGGTAGAGTTGCAGTAGGAATTGGGTTTGCTTTATGCAGGAAGATGAAATGATTACCTGGAGCCTTCAGGCCACTCTGTGACAGGCTGAGGAGACTGAGCTAAAAGAACAGCTCAGCCCTGAGGGTTTGCAGGGACACCGCTTCACCACTGTTTTTGCACAAGGAACCCTGTGCTGGAGTGTGCGCTTCTGAGCCAAGCCTGCGCATTTGTGTCAGTGACTAACGTGTATAGGGAAAAGAAGGGAAGGAAAGGGGAAGGACTCTTACCTTTCAGTTGCCCTTCTCTTCTCCTGTGAACCATGATGCCACAACCATAGGCTCACCTCAGTTCAGCCAGCTCAGATTTCTATTATCATTTCTGTGGGGAGAAAAGAATGAAACTTAATGGAGGGGGTCAAACCTTTGCTTACTGTAAACCATTTATGGCCTCTTCATAAATGTTTATGCAACTATGTCAGTTTACATTTGCAGCGGCTCTGCCCTGGACGTGTTCCAGGAGGGTAAGCAGAGGATGTAGTCTTGCACAGAAAAACCACCTTTTGTTTTAATCTGTATTTAATCCCTGCACTGACTGATTTCATCATTCAAAGTTGTTTTCTTTACATGAAGCTCCCAAATCTCTCCTCAGTCCTGGTTTGTTCTTTTTCTCTGCTTTCTCTCCTATTTGCAATTAATATTTTATCAGAGTTTTCACAAATAAGAATATGCACATATAAAACAAGCTACAACATCAGCAACAGATACTAGGAGATATTACCATCAACCTCCAGGAACAAAAAGGATTTCCAAACACACACAGCGTAATTTCCAGCTCCCCTTTTGTTACAGACACATAGAGTGGATACAGTAAGATGATGGGAACATTAATTTGGTCCTCCTGTCCAGCTCTTGTCTGTTGTGATTCTGGTACCACTGGAGTTGTCAAACCCTTACACCTTGGATAGGGCTCCTAAAGCAGGACATTGCCATTTCATCTTTCTCATGTTCCTCTCAAGAAAAAGGTCTGATTTTAGCAAAATAAATTATATTTTTTATTAACAAACAGACAATCCTGGCATAGTCCTGTGTTACCTTTCTGGTCTTACATGTAACTTATTATTTTCAAGAGGACACATTATCAAATATGTCTGGCAAGCTCACCTTCCTTCCCCTTCTTTCTGTTTCTTCCAGAGAAACCTCATACATCCCTGTGTGCAGTCAGAGTGAAAAGAATTTGTGTAATGTAATAGTCTCAGGCCTTTGGTCATAAATGTAATCACTGAGGCCTATGAGAGCACACCATTGCTACAAATCCAGAGCAGCCCGTGTCTGGTCCCTTTTTCCAGTCTCTTGTGTCTGTGTCTATTGACATATACAAAATAAAATGTGAACAAATAGCCCGAAACGTGGCCATTCTGTTCTCTCTCCTGCCACGTATCTGTCACCAACTGCTATTAACTTTAAATTTTACGGACTGGATTCAAACCTTCATTTATCTTTCTAGCAGTCATCCAAAAGAGTGAGACCTTTCCTGCT